TCCAACAATCACCAGCTCTGGTTTGGTTGAAATTAACCCTTAACTCACCCAGTTAGATGTGACAACATGCTGCCTCTATACACACTAACATGACTGTTTATTTAAATGGAGTCTGGTGGGTTTGGTGACGGTAATTTCAGGGCTGTTTCTGGTTAAACAAAAAGGATCTGATTCTTTAACACAAAGCTCTATCTCTGTAGGGATCCTTTCATAATGTTATCAGACACTTAGAATAACAATCTGAGCCTGTTAGCCTGTTAAACAATTTTACTGGACGTAAATTGACGGTGCAAACATGCCCCGAGTGGTTACATTGCCTGTTTCATCGCTGCTGGCTGCAGCTCTCTCTCAATACTGAACCAATTTCAAAACTGTTGCTCCCATTTGTCACTTTGATACAGAAACTTGTGAAAGTAGGGTCCAGGTTGTAAAATGCAGAACTTGTGATACTACAGTGACTTCCTCTTTACATAGTTGACTGCACTTTTGACTGAAAGATGTTTCCCCTGTCTAAGAATTTAGAAACTTAACACCCAAACATAGTAATGGATAATTTGGTGCAGCCCCGTCCTGCTGTGTTACACACCTGGTTGGTGTTGTCAGGCAGGTAGGTGATGGCGGTGGACAGACTGCCCTGGGAGGCCAGCAGGTTGGCATACTGGCTCATCTTCTCAGCCAGCAGGACGCCAATAGCAGTGGGACCAGAGCGCTGGGTCTGCTCCACTGCACGCCGCAGCACCACCACCTTCTCCACCAGGTCCTGAAGGATGGAAACATACATCATTAGCACAACTAAAGATCCAAGCTGCATTACTTTGGGAGCAACAGAGCAAGCTGAAAACACACAATCTGACAACTCCTTTTTCCCTCTGTTCCTGTGTTTCCACCATTGTGACTTCATTTGGAGACGTGTTTCAAACCATGTGACAAATTTAAGCTCAATATTCACTCTGCTTTTTATTCTGTTTTGGTCTCTATCAACTCCGACAGAGCTTTTTGTCCTCTTAGCTGTCCGGTCCACAAATTTACCGAATCGTAGCATTGTTTTTTACCGTAGCAGGCAGCTGTTTGCAGAGAGAAAGCTCTAAATACCCACAGTACATGACCTACTCAGCACCAAACAGCAGACAGACACCTTTAGAGACAAGGTAAAGAGACAGATACTTCCCTCAGGAGCTGGTGGAGAAAAAAACAGAGCTAAAAGAGACTAAATATTGGATTTAAATTCATCAGATGGACAGAGGTGCTGCCCCCAAGTGTCCAGCTAAATCAGTTTTTGCATCTTGAAGAAAGAGACACACCTGAAGGGAGAGTGGACAGTGTCCGTCTTGAGCTCTGGTCCAGCATGACACAAGTTTCTCCACGTTTCCAGCACAGATGTAAGACAGACAGGCCTGGGCTTGCAGTTGGGCATCATCTGCTGCCTCCAGTCTGCCCCCGAGAAGGTCTAACCAACAAGACATGTTCAGTCAGAAGAGCACAAACTCACAGCTGAGAGAGACAAGGAAGTTTGATAAGATAGAAACTCTGAGATCAGGCAGCATGTGTCCTTGAACTCACCACAGAGGGAGGAGAACTCCTCGGGCTGAGCGTAGGTCACTACAGCAGCCAGAGCCTCCCTCCAGTTCTGCAGGTCGCACGTCTTCAGGATGTCGTGCCAGTCTTTCATCACCACGGCGCTGATCAGCTGCAGGACAAAAAACACAAGTTACATCATCGATAATAAACTCTCATTTGATAAAACTCTGACTAAACATTCTTACCTTGGTTATCTTGCTGTGTGTTTTCGTAAAATACTTCTTCTGGGTTTTCTCTAAGAGCTCGGGCCCTCCGGCGATGGCCAGGATGATGCTGTCTGCCATCCGGTTGTCATGGAGACAGAGCTCCACAGCTCCCTCGAAATCTCCAGTCAGCAGGGCCTGTGTGATCAGACCGTCCACATCTGGCAGAAAGACAAATAGTCAGTAACTACAACCACACATTCTTTTAAACGGGTAATTCAGTGACATCTGTGGGTTCATGTCATGAGGAGCTGAAAACGTACCTTGACTGATGCTGAGGTTGACTCCGTCTGCGCTGGCTGGCGTCGGAGCAGGAGCTGGTGCTGGAGCCAGATCCTCAATGAGCTCCTCAACTAGAACTGGAACTGGAACCTCGATGGGTTCCTCGACTGGAGCCAAGATCTCAGGAGGACTGGGCTCCTCCTCCATTGGAGCCGCCGTCTCCTGAAACACCAGAGAAACATCCCGTCACGTCTTAACGTCACTCCTCTCCTCCTCTCGTGTGTCGCAGGATACTGACTTGCGTAAACCTGCAGACTCTCCCCTCTGGCAGTTAAATTACCGTCATCTGATTACAACTCTAATGCTGCATGGTTGGTCCTACTTGTTTGTTACGTATGAGGAGCTTAAATGAAACCAATGAGGCATCTGAGCTCAAATGAAGCACAGTATTTGCCTGACTGACAGACGTCCACGTTAATCACACATGCTTCAGTGAGCTCTGATAAACTTCAGTCTTAAAGGGAGCTGTTAGCACAATAAGTCAAGCAAGTAGCTGCTCATGGACTCAGCCTGTACATGCCCACACAGTCCTGAGAAAAGGTCCAATCAACCTTAAATAAGTAAAATCACCCATGTGTGTTTACTGTCAGCTGGACTGAAACTGTGCAGCAATGGAGGTGTAAGGAACGACCAATTATTGGCTGGGCTGATCGTCATGTTTCACTGCTCTGCTAGCCTCTAGGCTAATTTATGTAATGTAAAATGTCATGGGCTTGTGCTAATAACGTTAGCATGTTGTATTTGTGGGTAAAAGTTGTCAAGCAAAAGACAATTGTTTTGTCTGTGAACCTTGTGAGCTGTAACGGAGACGCTTGTGCACATTTGTTTAATGTTGTCTCCGATATTAAGCCAGGTTTTATATGTGTTAGTTGAATCGATCAACTTGACTTGACTTCACAGAAACTCCACACAGTGGCATAGACACCACACTGTCAACTAGTGTTTTGGAGGTACAATTACAGAGAGTAGGCAGGATGAAATACATGTCGAGAAGCCGGTAAAAGAGCAATGTCTCTTTTTTAAAGATAATGTTGAAATATTCTCTTTTGCAACATTTTATTAAACAGTGGATCCTTAAAGGCATTAAAGCAAAATTTGTGTTGGAATTGTGGACTTTCATGTTCACTGCAAATGTCTGTTGGTTCAAAATATCTGTTGTGCGCCTCTTTGATTATTAACAATCTGTATCAGAATCAGCCCTAAAGAAACAAACGGAGTCGAGCACTGGAAACCTGGTGGTGTAGTTGTTTCAAATGCAAAGCAATGCCAACGGATGAGGAAAGTCTTTGCTGCTCAGACTGGGAATTGGCGATGCCTGCACTTGAGAATCTGGACATCAGTACTGACGAGACTGCTGCTCTTCAGAGACCGTGCATCACCGATCACCCTGAGC